GCGTGTCAGCATTTTGAAAAACCCTAACTTAACTCTGGTGCCGTGTCACATATAGAAATTTGTTGATATTTGCAACCATTGTAAAACAAAGATTTGTATTTTTGATATTTATTTTATATATATTTATGCCATTTAACAAAGAAAAATCAACCCAAAAAATGAGTTTGCATGTCACCTCTGGAGGAATGTCATAGGTTCGCCATCACTGCCCTAGGGCTGCACATGATACCCAGTTAATAAATATTTGGTAAACAAAAGAAATGATTATCTCTGTTTCACAGATTAGCAGCCTGGGGTAAGAAAAGGTACGTCATTCTCTTCCCCAGGGATTGGAATTCAGGTTGACCTGAAGCCAGGGTCTGTCTTCTCGGTGCTCCACAGAGCTCGGTCACACACTAGCCTAATCTACCCAGTAGCCCAGAAGAGAAAATGTAGGGACATCCACAAGGAAGGGGGATTTGCCACACTGAGAGATGCTTTTCATCAGGGTTCAATTCAGAGCCATTTTCTGTCAGGAAACCACGGTTTAAGTCTCCCCCAAACCAAGCATGTGCTGCTCTGGGTCTCAGTTTCCTCATCTGTGAGTGAGGAAGCTGGAGCAGATGATGTCCAAGGAGGCATGTCTCAGGACCTCCTAGCCTGCCTCACTGGCTAGAGAGTCAACTCTTCAAGCTCCTCTTTTTCATTTCTCCTAGATCCTCATCTTTCAGAACACATCACCAACCATCTACCTCCCATACCTTCACCCACACTAGCCCTTCTACTAGTTGAAAGGAATTTAAATCAGAGTACTTTTAACTCCCCAAGCCCTCCCCAGCCCCCAAAGCCACTGAGCCAGGAGGTGTTCATCCTCATCTCTCCTCTCAGGTTTTATTGACTGATGAAAACTACATCTTTGTCAGCCACCAGCTCCACGGGGACAGGGAACCTGAGATGATGCCAGATAATCAGCCTGAGAGCAAACACAGAGTTCCGGAAGGTGACCCAAGAGGGAGAAGAGAGAGGAATATGTGAAAAGGTGTTGTGGGGAGGAGGAGAGAAGTTCCTCCTGCCTTCTACAACTCCCAGAGTTCAAGAACAACCCAGGCCTCAGCCCCTGGCGCTTCTGGACTCCTGCCCAAGCACAAGGAATCAGCTCATGATCTCCAAACCCAGCCCAACCCCTGTTGGTTGCCAGGTGCTTATCTCAGCCAGTCCAGACTCCGGCCCAACCCAGGAAAGAAGCAAACCAGAGGGGAGAGAAGGAGGAGTGTTAGAGGTGGCCCCTCTGATTAGGGCAGATGTAAATGCAGCAAACTGGGCAGAGGCTTTGCATAATGTCACAGCAGCAGCTGCTATTGCTAGAGTTTGCTGGGGGCCCAGCAGAGGATGGAGTTGCAAGGACCCATTTCCAGCAGCCAGAGAAGGGGGGTAGTGTTTGTGCTATCCATGTGTGTTGGGAGAGGCAGCCTGACCCCCGAGGCAAGGCCTGGGGGTAGAAGGTCACTGCTGAGGCCACAGCCCATGAAGCCTGTGGTTGCATTCCAAGCTTTGGAATTTAGGTGTTGTTGGGCCTGGTGGAGGGTGGGGACCTCTCTTGGAGGCCAGATAAGAGGTAATGCTTCTCTTCCCTGAATCCCCAAACCTCCACACCCCCCTGACAGAGAGAAGAGGAAGTCTCACCTCTTCTCAGGCTAGAGCTCAGATGTCAGGTGGGAGCCTGAGGACCCAAGGGGAGGAGCATGCAGGAGGCCAGCTGAGGGGAGGGTCTGGTCCCAGTGTGCTGGGGCCTGAGGATGCCTAGCAATTCAGCTCCCACCAGGAAATCTGTCTGGGGTGGGGGAGGTGTCCCATTCCCTGGCTACATTCCCCACAAGGTAGGCCATTCCATGCAACTCCATTGCATAGTTTTCAATAGGGGGTGGGGGGCAGAAGGGTTTCCCCAGGCCTGCCCCTGTCTGTCTCCCCAAAAATATGGCTTTGGAAAGGAATCCCCAAGAATCAAGAGGGCCCTCTGGATGGTTGGGCCTAACCCTCACAGGGAAGAGATCTTCACAGTCTCAGGGAGGAGGCAAGGGGTACCCAGGCTAGAGTTCCTGAGGGTGCTGCTGGCCCCGCCACCGCCACCAGGGGAGGAAGGTTGGCTCTCATCTGGGGTGTTGGCAGGAGGGGTAGGGATACTGATGATGGCAGCCACAAAGTCCCGGCTGTCACAGTTCAGGTCAAGGTTGTCGTGGAGCTTGGCATTGAGGCTTGAGCGGCTGTGGATAAGGGTGGGAAGACAGAAGGTTCTTTAAAAGTCATCTTAATACTTGCTACAGCAATCATGACATTTATTGAGCATCTACTGTATCCCTGGCACTGTGCTAAATGGTTCTCCTGCACCCCCAATCACTGTGAGGGCTCTGAAGTTAGGCAGTCCTGGGTTCGAATCCTGATCCCAATTTTACTACTGTAAACCTCTCTTTTCTCTCATGTGAATAATAATACAGTAAGTCCCCACTTAACATCGTTAATAAGTTCTGTAACTTTAAGTGAAATGATGTACACCAAATTTTACCACAGGCTAATTAATAAAAACAAGGGTTAAGTTTCTAGTCATTTCACCAATGTTATAACAAAATGGTACTGGGAATATTACTCAGTCATTAAAAAAGGATGAAATCTTACCATCTGTGACAGCATGGATGGACCTAGAGGGAATTATGCTAAGTAAAATAAATCAGACAGAGAAAGACAAATACCAGCCCTAGCCGGTTTTGCTCAGTGGATAGAGTGTCAGCCCATGGACTGAAGGGTCCCGGGTTTGATTCTGGTCAAGGGCACATACCTAGGTTGCAGGCTCCATCCCCGGCCCTGGTCAGGGCACATCGGGGAGGCAACCAATCGATGTCTCTCTCACATCAATGTTTCTCTCTGTCTCTCCCCCTCCCTTCCACTCTCTAAAAATCAATGGAAAAATATCCTCAGATGAGTATTAACAACAACAACAACAACAAAAAAAGACAAATACCATATGATTTCACTTATATGTGGAATCTAAAGAATAATATACGTGAACAAACAAAACTGAAACAGACTCAGAGATACAGAGAACAGACTGGTGGTTGCCAGAGGGCAGGGGAGCTGGGGGACTGGGTGAAGAAAGGTGAAGGGATTGAGAAGTACAGATTGGTAGTTACAAAATAGTCATGGGGATGAAAGTACAGCATAGGGAATATAGTCAATAATATTCTAATAACTATGTATGGGGCCAGGTGGGTACTGGAAATATTGGTGGGAATATTTTATAAAGTATGATTGTCTAACCACTATGCTGTATACCTGAAACTAATACAAATAATACTGAATGTAAATGGTAATTTATAAAGAACAAAGACAAGAAAATAAAACGACATTGAACAAAATGATTTTATTCAAGAACCTGTTGTATTCCTACCTCACAGGGTTCTTGTGAACATTAATTGAGATAATAAATGATACAAAGTGCTCAGAATAGTGCAGTGATGGTGAACCTTTTGAGCTCAGCGTGTCAGCATTTTGAAACTAACTTAACTCTGGTGCCATGTCACATATAGAAAATTTTTGATATTTGCAACCATAGTAAAACAAAGATGTATATTTTTGATATTTATTTTATATATTTAAATACCATTTTAACAAAAATCAACCCAAAAAATGAGTTTGCGTGTCACCTCTGACACGCGTGTCATAGGTTCGCCATCACTGGAATAGTGCCTGGAACACAATGGGCATACAGACACAAAACATCTATTATGATAGACTCCTTACAATCCTAAGTCTTCACAATAGTGTACAGTAAGAGAGCTACATAATCTGGTCCCTGTTCCTTTCTGATTTTACCTCCCACCACTCCCTCCCTCCCTCACTCCACTCTACTCACAGTAGCTTTCTGGTTCCTTATTAGAGACACAGACCTAGTCCTGCCTCGGTGGTCTTTGCACAGGCTGTTTTCTCTGCCTGAAAAGCTCTTCCTCTAGATATCACATGACTCACCCCTTCACCTCCTTTAGGTCTTGGCTCAGATATCACCTCAGCAAAGCTTTCCCTAACCACACCGTTAAAACTACGTCATACCCTGTTCTACTCTCTCTGTCCCCCATTCCTGATTTATTTTTCTCCTTGGCACTTAACACACTGCATCATCTCTGTATTTGTTTATTAACGGACACATCCCACTAGAATATAAGTTCCAGAAGGTCAGGGATTTCTGCCTGAAGTGAACTCCAAAGTGCCTAAAGCTCTGCCTGGCATATAATAGGTGCTCAATAAATGACAAGAGAATGAATGAAGAACAAGGAGTTCCAGACAAGATAAGCCCAAGTTCCCAGCATGGAGGAGTTTGGGTTTGAGCTTGACTTGCTAGGCCTGAAGTCATGAAATCTCAGACCCTCTGGTCTAAGCTCTGAGCTTCCTCAGGGATGGCCAGGGGGTGGGGGTTTCTTACCTCTGAGGGACAGGGCTCCTCCGCAGCCCCGCCAGCGTGTCCAGCTCCTGCATGCTTCCACGGCTGACCGAGGCAGTGGAGTTGGCAAGGCGGATGGCACGGCGCTTGGCCCTGCGGGGGCAGCAAGAGGATAGCAGGCTGCCAGGCCCCACTGGCTGGGAGGACACAGAGGTGCTGCGGCTGGTGCGGCCACCCAGCGAGACCGCACCCAGGGCCTCGTTGAAGGTTAGCTCATCTGTGAACTCATGGCACTGTGGGAAGAAGGGAGGCACGGTCACAAGGCACCACATAGGAGCTGCCGCCACCACCAGGCCTTTGCTTATGCCCTTCCCTCCTTTCTGGAAGTTGCTCCCTCTTTCCTTCCCTTGCCCACCCTTCAAGGCTCAGCTCTATCAGGCCTCTTCTAGGAAGCCCCGCGTGATTTCCACAATTAGTAGTGAGCCTCCAAGTCCACAGGGGGGAGCTGGCTTGGTGGCAGAGAGATCCCCTTCATTCTGCCATGCCACTTCTCCTTAGGCCTCACCGTTGTCTTCTCTAGACAGTGCAGCAAGTGGTGATGTTGTTTCTCAAAAGCAGAACGGTTCCTGACACACAGGGCCTGTTCCTCCCCACTGCCGCTGTCCTGGAGTGGATGGAGCAGACAAATGAGGTCAGCACCTTCCTCCTCCCATCACTGCTCATGACCAACCCCAATCTGGGACCTACTCACCTCAAGGCCCCTGTTCTGCTTGTACTGCAGGAAGGCGTTGGTGGTGCCACTCTTTGCCAACCGGATCCTTGCTAAGCGCACCTTCTACAGAGAGGAGAGAAAGAGTCAGGTGGGTAAACACAAGAGGTGATTGACTGGCTTGGGGTGGGGGGAATAGGAGATGGAAGGTGCATCTACCTGCTGTGCTCGGCGCTTATCAGCGCGCTGGTTCTGGTGGTAGATGCGGCTGAAGTTAGAAACAATGACTGGCACAGGCAGAGCGATGACCAGGACACCACTGAGTGAGCAGATGGATCCGAAAATCTTGCCAGCAATGGTGCTGGGCACCATGTCTCCATATCTGGGGCCAGAGGAGGTAAGTCAAGGTCAAGAAAAGTTCCCACCCACCCCTCAGTCCCCCACTGCATCCCATTCATTCCAATTCATTCTGTGACCTTGGCCAGGCACTCCAACTCTCTGAGCCTCAGTTTCTTGCTCTGCAAAATGTGAGGGATGACCTTTCTGGCCACCAGTGGGGGTCAAATGAGAATGGGGCCTCAGCCCCTACCATCTGCTGCCCCCATGCTAGCTGTGCAGGCATCTGAATCAGCTGGAAATCTATTAATACCCAGCATGGGAGAGAAGGAGGAAGTTACAGGCAGTAAACATGGCCTCATGGAGAGAGAGTTCCACCACTACCAGCCAGCTAAAGGGCTCTGGATCCCTGCAGCAATGCTCTGGTGGTTTTGCTTAAATCTGTCTTACCTTCTCTAGGTAGGACCCCTTCCTGTTCCCCCAGGGAAACCCCAAAACTGTCCTCACATGTTTCTCCATGCCATCCCCTACCCATGGAGATGGAGCAGAGCCAATCTTACCACCTTGTCTCACAGAGGGAGTGCAAACCAAAGTCAGGGAGGTTCCATAACTGACTTGCTCAAGATCACACAGCATCCTTTTGTCCTAACCACAGGACCAATCAGACTCCCTCCACAAAAGTGCAGCCTCTGCAGTCTTAAGCCTCTAAGCCTTTGCTCAAGCTGTGCCCCACCCCTCATGGCTCTTCCTTATTTCTTTATTTTGACTCATTTGTTTATTTTTTTATTTTGACTTATTTACAAGTCTTTCCAACTTGGGCATTTCTGGCACTATGATGTGTCAACTCAGACTGTATCCTCAACTAGGAGACGTGGGCAGCTGCCCACCCACCCAGGGTTGTTGTGAAGACTAAATAGGGTAAAAAAAAACCCCAAAAAGACTAAACAGGGTAAAAGGCATCAAAATACTCAGTTCCAATCCATTTTCAAGGCTCAGTATTTGTTTGTCGACCTAATCCTGAACCTCCAACCAGAATTAATTTCTACACTTTAGAAACCTCAAATCAACTTTTCTATACCTCTATTAAATCCCTGAGCAAGCTCAATCCATCCCTTCAACAGATACTGTATATACCTAATCCCTGTGACAGAAATTAGGACAGGCTCACAGTCTCTGCCCTAGACAGTGTCTTCAAGAACAACATGAGTTTCGTGTTTCCATTTGATGTTTTTAGCCCAACTATTTTCTTTCAAGGATTGTCAGTAAAAAAAATGATGCTGAAAATATCTTATTCTGGAGAGCCACAGAGGTAGTGTCCCACACTATGCTTGTAGAGGTTTGGGAGTTTGTGGGTCCTCAAGATGGAAAAGGGGGTGATACAAAACCAATACCTATTTATCCCTGTACCAGAAACTTTCACAACCACGATGTCCGTAAAGCCCCTCAAAAGGGATCATCTTCTCATGTTACAGAGGGGAAACAGGCCCAGAGAACACAAGGTCAACAGAAAGAGTACAGCTAAGACAATCCTTGAACCCAAGTCATTGTCAAAGCTGGGTGGGATTTGAAGATTAGTCCAACTCCCTCAGTTTCTACAGACGAGCAAACTGAAGCTCAAACAGATCATTTACCTAACCTTCTTTTACAGAAAAGGTGAGTGTAACTGACTGATCGGGCAGCTCCCAACACAGGGTCTGCACTCACCCAAGTGTGGTCATGGTGACAATGGTATACCAGAAGGCTGCGGGGATGCTAGTAAAGTTAGTCTTCTTTGTGCCCTTCTCGGCATAAAACATGACAGTGGCGAAGATGATGATGGCCATGGTGAGGGAAAAGAGGAGGAAGCCCAGCTCAGAAGCACAGCTCTTGAGTGTGTAGCCCAGAATTCGCAAGCCCTGTGAGTGCCGGGAAAACTTGAAGATGCGGAACACCCGGAACACGCGAAGGGTGACAAAGGCGCCAGACACATCCTCGTTCTTGGGCACGAAAAGGCCGATGTAATAGGGCAGGATGGCCACCACGTCTATGAGGCTCATTACACTCCGTAGGAAGCGGCAGCGGCTGGGGGCAGCAAAGAGCCGCAGGAGGTATTCACCCGTGAAAATGAGCACGCAGGCCGTGTCCATGCAGAAAAAGGCCGTCGGGAAGCGTTCCCCACACGAATGCTCCCTGGGGGGGGACTGCCGCATGGGGCCTCGGCACGGGATGGTCTCGACCACGTTGGCGATGACTGACACGGCGATGAAGAAGCCGGTCACGTAGTAGAACACGAGGGCCGCGGTGCTAGTGTGCGGGTTCTCGAAGGCCCGCCAGAGCCTCTGGCGCAGGGAGCTGCCGGCCCGCAAGGCTGGCCCTTCGGCGGCCTGCTCGGCCTCCTCATCCTCCGCCAGGCGCTCCGCGTTCTCCTTCTTACGGTCCCGGTACTCCTCCAGGCAGCAGTCGCCAACGAGCTCAGGCACCAGGCCGTAGAAGGCCAGCTCTTCATCGAAGGCCTGGATGCACTCCTGCCGCGGGCAGTGCAGGCGGCCGGTGCGGTAGAAGTTGAGCACGTGCCGGAACATGTCCGGATCGCGATCGAAGAAGTACTCGCCCGAGTCAGCATCGTAGAAGAACTCCTTCTCCGAACTGCCCAGCAGGGTGTCCGGGTAGCGGTCCAGCGTGTTCTTCCAGGTCTCAAAGCGCCGTCCGCTCACGTTCACCACCAGAACCTCATCCCCTCGAGAGGCCTTCACCCCTGGCGCCGGGGGCAGGGGCTGCTGGGCCAGGGGCAGCCA